CTCTCTCTCTCTCTCTCTGTCTCGCCTCACGAACAACACGCCGCAGCCACTCCTTGCTCCTGTTTTGCACGTCTGGACGCGCGCGAGACGCTTATTTGCGTGAAAACGGCCACGAGACTTCGCCTCGCGCAACACTTGAAACAATCTCTCTCCCTCCTTTCTTCCTCTCTGTCCGGCGTGATCGCCGTTCGCGCCTAACTTCACGATGTTTTCCCACTGCTCTCCCGGCGCGCGCGCGCGCGCGCGTCCCTACGGCGACAGGAGAGACCGCGCGCGTCTCCACCTGTGCGCTTCCTTCTCTTATTTTCGTATTTAGCGACGATATTATCCTGGCGCCGACGTCCTGATCGTTCGACGCGACGCGCGAGGGGAAGAGAAAGAAGGAGTGTCGCTCCGCGCGTTCTTTCTCCTCCCTTTCTCCGTCACCGCGAGCACACTCTGCAGTGTTTTGACGTCCGCGGCGCGAGCAAGATCGACCGGGCACAACACTTTCGACTTCCGGGAGCCGCGCACCGGGTGTGTATAAGCACTTTTCGGGCACCGCGCGGACTACGCGGCGGTGGACGGTAACGGCAGCAGCGGTGGCAACACCACCAGCGCGGTAACGAAGTACTCCGAACGGTACCAGTGTGAACGTGAGAGTGACACACACATGACCGATCAGTGATATCGCGTAGCGCGCACTGCGGGCGGACGGCAGGGAGGCACGGCTCCTTCCCGCGGCCCGTACGCCCTCCCCCCCTCGCGCGCGCGCGCTCACTCCCACCCGTCTGGCTAACCTCCTCCCGCCGTTGCACGATCCGCTCCCACCCCGCCGTGAGCGAGGCGAGCGCGCTCTCACTCTCTCTCTCTCTTTCTCTCTCTGTTCTCCCTACTTCCCTCCAGTTTCTCTTCCCTCTTCCCCTCGCTACGGAGTGTGGAGTGCCGACTGCCGCGGCGCGGTGCGGCGCGGCGTGTCTCGCTTCACTTTGCTGCTATCCATCGCACGAGAGCGTCGTTGGGTCGACTCGGGGGGGGGGGGGGAGAAGCGGGAAGGGAATGCTTAGGGCTGTAGTACCGACCGCGAGGCGCGTGGGGTCGCGCGCGCGGGTGGCGCATGAGAGGAAAGGGAAGACACACGTTGGTGCGGGCGAAGAGAGAGAGTAGAGAGAGAGAGAGAGAGAGAGAGAGAGAGAGTAAGAAGGGCGCCTGGGGAGAACTGCCGCCTTTGCCTCTACTCCTGTCGTGCGCGCGACACGCACACGGCGTACTCGTGTCACGCGTATCCACGTTCCGCGCTGTACACACGCATCGACGGAGCACGCTGCGTGTAAGCCCTGGTTTTCTCGGGCGATCCCTACTCCTTCCCCTCCTTCCCCGGCCGATAAGAGAATACTTCCCGTAAAAACACGTGTTTTTGTTTCTCTCGCCAGGAGACAATGATAAATTTTGGTATTACTTGATTATATCCCTCTCGTTCTCTCTCCTTTGAAATAAAAATGTATTTTAAGTGAAAAGCACATATTATTTTTATCAGTATTTAGTGAAATTAAATTGATTAAATTTTTTATGCCTTTTGCAAGTAAATTGCTTTCACAAGTTTACTAAATTATATAAATTTTGTAAGCATTACTGATACATCGTATAAAGATTTTAATTTATGAGATGTAAAATCAAGTTCTTTCATTAATACGTTGCGATATTATTTTTCTTCAGTACAAAAATTTGTGAAAATATAAGCACATTTATCAGGAAATTTTTTTTTCATATTTCGGTAGGCAAAAGTTTTCCATATACATATAATTATCGAGATTTCAACAATTCTTTCTTTTTTATCGTAAGTGTTTATTTGGCCGCTTGTGGCATACCAGAAACCGTTTCGCTGATGGGAATTTCTTGTTCTTTTTCTTTCTTTTCTTAACCTACTTTTTAGTTTTCTTTTTCTGCCGTCCCTTGGTGGCTAGAGAATTTGTGTGTTTACGCGGTTGGCGGTAAACCGAAAGGACGTTTTACGGTCGCAATTTTTGGAGCAGGTAAAATGTTTGGGAAAACTTCAGCGGATCATGAATTATCGCGTAACGCAAAACACTTTAATTATTCATACTGAGATATACATCACATACAAAATGCTAATATATTCAACAATAAATTTTGATTTGAATTCATTCATTAACGTGATTAAGTGAACTTGATACTTCCGAAGAGATTGCTAACTATAATTTATTCATTATTACTGAAACATTTCCGAAACATACTTAACTCTAAACAATGCGAGTTCTAGAGGCCAAATGATATCTTTCTTCTCATAACAATGAATAACGAAGAATAAACGAACGTAGGAATTTGTTTTTCTGATCGATTCAACACACCTCTGTCGTACCTAACAGATAATATAACAGATATCGAATTAAATCGGCGCCGGATGAAGGCGAGCTATGCCACGCTCGCGCATATGTATACAGACCTGGCGCGTCACGTGACGAAAACACGCCGTGACGTCACCCGCGCAGCAGCGGCGAGCCAGCTGCCAGTTCAACATGGCCGACCTGTGAGCGGCGGTGGTACCGACGGCCGTCCGCATTTAGTCCGCTCGTTTCTAGCCGTTCGCGCGCGTCCCGTCGTGCCGCAGGACCCGCTAATATGATATCGTCGATCGTCTCGCGTCTCGTCATGTGAGTATCCGCGCCGCCGGCGCGGCCGCCGACGGCCGCCGGGGCGAGGAGTGCCAGAGTGCGTCGTTGGGGTCGGCCGTGTGCGCGCACCCCGGGCCATCGCCATCGTCCGCCGTTCGTCGTCGCGCAAATTTTCGTTCCCCGGTGCAGGGTTTATTTTTACCCGGTGTCGTGCGCGCAGCTTCGTATCGCACGTGTCATCGTCGTCGCCCGAGTGTGCACCGGCGACCCGCGCCGAATTCTGGTTATCGCGTACAGTGATTTCCGTCATCTACTCCGTCTCGGCCCGCTCGCTCGATCGGCGGTCTGTCTCTATAGATACGCGTATATATACATATAACGTGAATGCACGTACGGCCGTCTACGCTCGCCCCTCGTCGCTCGCTCCCGACAGTACGCTGTCATGACAAAGGGAAACAAAATACGAGGGCTGGAAACGGCTCGAATTCGGCTGTCAGCTGTCGGAGACGAGGCGAGCGGATTCATCGTCGGACGGCCATCTCTCTCTCTCTCTCCCCCTCTCATGGTGGAAGATTGTGTCATCGCGTCTCTCCAGGTGCCCGACGAGACGCATTCCCATGTTTGGGTAGGACCCTCGCAGCGAGAGTGTCGCCGGAGGCATTTAAAAATCCACAGCGCGGCGATAGGAAGGGACGACGAGGGAAAGGACGCAGGAACGGGACGCCCGTTCCGGGCGCGATCCGGAGTAAGCGAAGGTAAGGGATCAATGTCACGAACGCGCGCTCGAATCGATGCGCGGAGCCGGCTGAACGCGACGCGGAAGAGAAACGCGCGGCTTGCACGGGGCGGGGGAGGGAGGATGGTGTATGTGATGATAAAAATCGAGAAGGCGAGATAACGATAACGCGCCCCGCCTAACTTCCCCAATTAAACGCGCACCGTTGAGCAAGCGCGACGAGGGTGAAAGCGCGACCGCAGTCGTGTGCAGTGCAGTCTTGCGACACACGGAGTCGCGCCGCGGCGCGCGAGGACGTAACCTAACCCAACGTTCCCAGCGTTCGCACAATGCAGACGTTATGTTACAACACTCGCAGAGGCGCGCATTATCGCCGATCTCTTACGTTCGCTCGCGAAAATCAGAGCAGCGTATATGATGACGTGATGCGTGATCTCGTTGAGCAACTTCTCGTCGGCAAGGGAGTTGCTTGATATTCTTTCGTAATTGTCATAGAAAAGCGTGTCATAGAAAAGCGTTCTCACTCTTCTGTGACATCTATTTCGCAGCGTTTATTATGAAAATCTAAAATAATAAAAAGACGCAATTATAAAAAAAACTATATCTCTGGCTTTACCTGCACATCTTTACTAGAAATACAGTAGATCGTTTGTCGAATAGTATCTCGATTGCATTAATAGTATTACTAACAACATCAACGAATGCTCAAAAGAAAAATTTCACATGAACTGTATTAGCTCACGAGCTTGCGTTAATCGCACGTCCTTTTTTTATATTCTCTTCTCCCTCTCTCTCTTTCCGAAATATTTTCCGCAGAGACTGTGATTTACGTAAAAAAGATATAAAAGAGCCTAATGATCTTCAAAATATTTACTACGCATTCGATTAAAGTCCGCTAGAGTCTCTCGTATAACCTTACGCAACAGTCCTCGACACATATTTCCTACAACGGAGCAAAGAAATCTTGACATTTGAAGCCTTCTTGCGATACACGGAGCACGATCTTGAGTAACG